ATACAAAGTGATGTAAGGTCAGTTTATCTTACACTGTAAAGAGCTGAGTCTATTCAAAGCCTCTGCTGAGCTCCAACTCCCTTGTTGGAAACACACCCTCCTCCTCCTTCAACTAGTGCTGCAGGCAAAGTAGGTGTTATTCATAGCTTCCGTCTGGGTAACTTGGCTAACACTTTAACACTTTGGCTAACACTTAAAAAGACAAGTGGCATGTGCGGAGAAGTAATACAGCACAATGTTTGCTCCCCTCAGGCTATTTCTCCAATGAAAAAAAATGTGGATCATAGCACAAAGACGCAGAGCTGGAAGGTCACAGCAAACACTCATCGCTCCAGACAAAGCAAAAAACAACAAAGTATAATCCCCAGTGGCAGTGCAGAGGATTTCCTCAGGAGAAAATCCACTATTATTGACAATATGGTCGAATACCTGAAGCAGAATTTTCTAAGCTGATTCTCATTTTACAGTTTGAACTGATATTTTAAAAATTCAGGGTTGGTGGGAACCACATAAAACAACCATGAACAGTGGTTACTGCTGTTTGTTCTAAATATTGCGAATTTCATCCCAGGTATAAATAAGGTGTCTGTCTATTCATCGTGACTGATCCCCTTCCATCACCACTCTGTACCCTGAGACACTGTCAATCATTGACTCAACATGCCTGCCTATTTTGTTAATAGTGTTGTTCCATGTGTTGTGTTCAATGACACAATCAACATCAAATTACATATGGTAACTCTACTCTATCAAGGACAGAAAAATATTTAAAAGAACTGAAACATTTTGTCTGCAAGTGAGGAATCTTTTTTACCACCTGCAGGTTATATTTTTATCAATTAATCTGTCAATTACTTTCTCCAATTAAATATTTAAACGCCGGTCTACAAAATGTCGGAAAATGGTACAATTTCACAATTTCCTAAAGCCCAAGGGGGTGTCTTCACATAGCTTGTTTTGTCTCATCAGCAGTACAAAGCCCAGAGATTTCCATTTGCTATCGCACAAGACAAAGAAAAGCAGCAAATCTTCATATTTGCGAAGCTGAAACGAGGTAATGTTCTGGATTTTTGCTTGAAAGAACAATAAGCTATTGCAGTATATCCTTCACTTCATTCTGGTTTCAGCTCTAATGCAGTTAAGAAGCTCTCCTAAAAGAATGTGACAATGCCAGGAGGTACCACCATACCTTAATATTGTTCCACTTCCAACACGGGCTGTTAAATTACACATATTCACCTGCAAATTTAGGATATAATAGGATGTAAACCATGTGGGGGAATAGAGAACAGCTCAAGACCCCCCCCCCCCCCCACACACACACACACACACACACACACACCAGTGGGTCAGCAGCTAACTCTTGACAGAGTGGCTTGGCTCAGTGGATATGAACAAAGCCAGAGTTCTGGAGAGGCTTTAAACCCACTGAGGCTTTTGTGTTTGCATGGTGATGCCATGGGAAACGAACACACATCTGAACGTCACATATCTGAGCCCTCTGATCCTCTGCCGGTCCTCTACGGACCTTGCCCATGTTACTAGTAGTTTCTGCTAAAATAAGAAGCCTACTCTTACACTTTGTTAGAAAACAAACCTTGGTTTACGTTTTGGATTTAAATCCTGACAAAAAGCTGCTGTCAGCTGTTGTCTCTTGTTATCCGTTGTCTCTTTTCATCTGACTTGAGGTCTGGTCTGGACATTAAGTAATAGTAGCTATGTGCTCTAATTGTGCAGCTTATTTTAACAAGCTTTTTCTATCACGAGTTACAACCTGGGGCTTAGTCTTAGCCCCTTATACCAGTTGCTGGATGCCGCCGTGTCATTACATTAAAGTACGCCTGTAACTTAAGCCTTAAGAGGTTTAGGGCGTATTTCATTACATTATCATCGTTATGCCCTTCAGCTGAGCATTAAAATCAAGTCCGTTAAGAGAGAAGAAAAAGAAAGACTGAATATTCATGACTCAGCAGCTAAAATGCAGCACAAAATGTTGTTACAGCAACTCATTTGTTACCGCTTTGAAAAAAACGATCGCTGCTTTTATGATTGCTGTAATCGCCCCAGCAGGCAGGTTCAACAAGTCCTCAGTTCCACCTGAGCCCTTGCCCTGAATGTACATCTATCATTTAAGACAAACTATTGTGAAGTCTTGTACTGTGCAAATAAGCCAACTACAGTACAATCTATACTGTAGCCAGGGAGGTGTACTGTGTAACTCTTTCTCAATGCACCATCAACTCTCCCGCTTATTGTGCATGGGTAAACATCCTATGGACGCAAATACAAGCTTAAAGCAAATGTTTTGAGCTTTGTGTTCCTTTGTGGATGTTTGAAAGAACAGGACGGCGTCTGTTGAGATAAGCTAGGGTCTTAAACCGATTTAAAAAAACTCAAGTGGACCCCTCAGTCCTTAAGCAACCCTGTTTAAGGTAGTCGGCTATCTAGGATCAAGCACTATGGCTTAAACTGCATACTAAAGCCTCCAAGATAAGCGCAATACTTTTATCCATTACATTTTGGGCCTTTTGTTGACACACACCCACTCTTGCATACTGAAGTGTATGTGTACCTAAATAAACAGGAGCTAGTTGGGTTTATTTGGATTTTAAGCAGCTGGGAGAATGAACTGTCACACCCCAATTTGAACTGTTTGAGCACGTGCATGGTGAGACTTGTCAACAAACTATTTTGCCAGTTGGTAGCAGTTACAACATGCCACGGCAAACACATCACTAGGTCTGGGTGTCATAGAGGGGGAAGAAGCAGGTGTGTAAACCGCATATTACTAAACACTTGTCTTACAGGAATCATTATGTCCTGAATACTTCATAACTGTAGATTATTAGTAGAGGTCTTAAGCCCCGAAATGTTTTATTGAGAAAGATTCTGTGCTTTTATGAATATATTTTAGAAAAATAAGTTTTACACATGGCAAATTGAAATGTAATGTGCTAAAATCAAATCAAGGCTTTAATTTTAGCTCCTGGAACCACACCACAAAACATCCACACTTTGAGAAGGTGCCTGTCATTTTAAACACATTAAGTGCAGTTTGGAGAAGCATGCATATTTGTTTTTAGTTAGTGGCCATAATTTGTTTTGCAGTTCACTGCATTGCTTCACATCCTCATATAGGTTATGAAATCAGAGACATTGTATTTGGCAGGTGTTTATTTAGCTCTATGGTTTCAGTTTGGGGCAATAGTTTGTGGTTTTGTTGTATTGTACAGCCTTACATGAGTGCAGCTGTACTAGGTGCTACCACCAGTTTTTTCCGACAAATTTTGGTAGCTTCAGAGGGACAAACAGAAAGGCACGAGCAGTTCATCTGCTGGACAATATGTTGGTAGAGTCGCCTGACAGCATTAAAGGCTCCAGAGGGGAATGTGACACTCCTAAATCCAAACTCAGATACTGTTACAATGGTCACACTGATAATAGGTATTATTGCTTTGTGCAGATCGCTCCAGGAACTGTTTTGTAATTCAGTGGTCACTTTCATTTACTCACTTTCCCCTCAACCTGCATGTTCTACCCTGCTTCCGTTAGGCAGCCTGGTGACTTCATACTAGTCCCTGGATAACTTTTGCCCCTTCCTCAAAATAAATTGACATCTATTGAAATTGTAAGAGTTGAAATTGTTGTGAGTTGTGAAATTGTGTCTCCGCCCCTTTTATGATGGATTTCACGCTGTATGACAAATGCCATCTCTTGAATGAAGCCCTTGCTCTTTGAATTAAGATCCAAAACATCAAAACGCGGCATTTAAACATAGCCACATAAACATTTTCTGCATGAATTTGTGTTAACTATGTTTAGAGATTTCTAAATGCGACAAAAGCAGCCCACATGCCAGCTGCATCACCAATAGGAACAGCATCAAAATGTAGATTTTCCCCTTCCAAACTGCAAATGGAATCAGGAAGCTCTGCACAAACATGCTCCACACACACACACACACACACACACACACACACACATGATGATGCACTTTTGTGAACACGTGCACATGAGGATGAGTCTCAGACACAAATGAGCAAATACAAGCATGGACAAGACGGCAAACACACAGACACAGAGGAAAGATGTAGGCAACAATAAAGCCATTATCTATCATTTCATAATAGACCAAAAAGGTCTCAGAATGGCCTTGAATGAGGATACAGGGAGGCAGTAAGAGAGAGACTGGTTTCCCATTATGCCACCTCACCAGCTGGGTGGGAGCGGCCTACTCCTGCACAATAGCACATCAAGTGTATGTACTTAGAGGAAAAGAAGCCCGATTCTGTCTCTTTACTGAAAAGTCAAACAGGTGGGAACAGAATAAATCACTACAGCCATGAATGGGGCTGTGCACTGAATGTCTACAAACAAAGAGAACTTGACAGTGAACGGTCCACTGTCCTTTCCTTGAAACCTGGCTGTCAGTGAAGCCCTTCTTTCATCGATTAACTGCCTTTCTGCAGGAGGCTTTGAGGAGAAGCCAGGCTTCTGGAGACACACAGGCTGATTGTCTCTCTCCCACCCCTGCCTGTCTTTCTTTCTCCGATAGCTCAGCCGTGGTTACAATAGATGATATCATCCCTCCTCATGCATGCCAGAGTGTGCTGAAGACGGCCCGTGTGGGTGCACCTGTGCAATGGGTGGGATGCTTTATGGGTTGTTGTTTTTTTTTTTTTTTTGCTACGTTCAGACACTGAAAGCACATATCACATGAGAAACTGCAAATCCCAGCGGAGGTGAACCACAACAATCGGTCTGTAAAGCCCGTAGCAGCACCGAGAGGTACCAGTTAGGAACTGGGTCACTGTGCTGAAAATGAAATGAGGCTGCTAATGTACATGTGTATGCGTGTGGATCACTATATGCCGCTGGTGCCCCTGCAGGTGCTTGCTAGGCCCGGGCCCGAGGCACGGACTGGCAGGTGGACCGGGGGCAATTAAGACACAGCTACGCATTTACCCAGTGATGGAAGATTAAACATTTTAGTGACTTACCTCAATGCCACGCGGACTGAGCTTTCATCCTGCCCCGTCGTCATGATTCCTTGCACAATAATCGACAGAAAAAGAACAAAAAGAGGATATATCTGTGTTGGCAGTTTGCCCTGGCAAAAGCGCAAGAAAAAAGTGAGCACTCCCCCAGAACTGGCGAGTGCACCGAGCAACGGAGCTGCTCACCTCGACTCCAGCGCCGCCATTTCAAAACAAACACAAAAATATCTTAACGGCGTTTTAACCATGATATCAGCGGGGAGATGAGGCGGCGTGTCCGCATCTCTGCGCAGCTCAGCCCGGATGCTTCAACTGCGGCTCCTGCCCACATGCAGACTGCCGCTGTTGCTGCTGTTAGGTGCGCTGGCGCGTACACACGTACACACGCACACACACACACACAGATACACGCGCGGCCGTGCCACTCTGCTCCGTTTACGCACCGGGGAGGGAGCCGCAATGCGTCAGCAAGCCACGCCCTCTCCGGGGAAAACGGCAGCGGGATGACGTCACAAGGTAATTTGTTTGTTTAAGTCAGAATATACTTTTGTAAAGATTTAAAGGAATAATTACGACATTTACTACTACTACTACTACTACTACTACTACTCCTCTTTACAATTAAGTGGCGAATACTTTGTTGCCTACAACCTCAAAATATTAATTTGATTATACTATCAGGTAATTTCCACATACATAAACCAAATGTTCAAAGTCTTCCCAGCAGTAACCAGTAAGGTCAAGGGTGCATAAAACACATGGAAATTGTACTGCCAAATGTAACATAACAAAGTAGTAAGTAACAAAGGCACCTTTTCTGTTCTATTGTATTCATTTGTTTAAATTTTACTTTTTTAATTGTTAATACCTTTTTAGTTTAGATCAGATTCTTTATTGTCCTTTTCACTAAATTGGTTTCCACCATCCATTCATAGCCTCACATATAAACAATGTGAACACACCTAATATATCATACATCAAACTGCACATTTATACACATATTGACTGTGCCAATCAAACATACTTTCTTACTTCGCAAGTAGATTTGTTGAGTAGTGCTATGGCAGAGGGGATAACTCCTGCTGTATTGTTTTATGCAGAATATGGCTATAGTCAGCCCATTTCCAGGCAAAGGTTCTGTATCTTTATGTAATAATTACTTTATTATAGTATTATTTTTGGAATTGATATGCAATTACCCCTTCATTCAAGCTGTGATTGTTTTTCTAGTGTAACGCATCAGGAAATCTGACTTAACTATGGATTAATTTGTTTAATTTATTTTGTAACATGTCATTGCACTCTGGAACAATCTACCAGAGGATGTTAGGCCAGAGTCTCTTTCTAGTTTTATCTTACATTTTGGCAAAAAAGCCTTTACTGTGTGGAATGTATTTTATTTTTCCTTTATTTTTATATTGATTATTGTAAACCACAGTGTGATGCCAAATTGTATTTGACTTGTTTGTTTTACATTGATAGGATTTACTTGTATTGAAAAAGTGCTATACAATCTATGCTTGTAAAATATATATAAATGCAGGTTAGTGCAATCTATGAAGTAATGACCTGTATAAATGATGCTAGTTCACTAGTTCCTCCCTTAAGTGACCTTTTAGTGCCACCCTGTGGCTACAAATCATAATGACACCATGTGAGGGCACTGGACAAGTGATGGGACAGCGAGTACACTGCATTAAGAACAGGGAATATAACTACAGTTTCTTAGGTGCTGACACAGACTGTCTTTTTGATTGCATCAATTACATACAGATATTCAAGGACACTTTAAAGGTGCATTAGATCAGAATTTTCTGATTTAACTAGTTGCTATTTGAAAGACTAGCGGGGCTAGATAACAGGTATACTTCTGAGCAGACCATTGCATTCAGATGAAACGGCCTAATCAAGCCAGTGGGGCCAACACGTGCAGTTTATCCTAAGCAGAGACAATATAGATATAAGGCTGGGTCAAGCCACCGAGTGCCTTCTCTTTGCTTGGTTGAGAGAAGAATTAATAGTGAGTTTTATGGTTAGACAATGGCACCACATCTTCAAAGGCCCAGTAGCCTGATACCCACTGCAGGATATAATGGTAGATCATGAAACAGTAAAATCATTACAAAAATGTTGTCATTTAAGGTGACCACTGAGCTTCCATAGGAAATCTTACAGAACTTTTGGCACATTTTACTGTGTATTGTTAATTGTCAACACAAGTATAGTAATCTTGCTGCGCTGATTACATAGAAATACCTTCATATAGCTGAAATTAGCTTGTGTATTTTATACTCAATTCAATCTGAACATAATATCCACCAGGACAAACCTGCTGGACATGAAACAAATCTGAAAGCAACAATATGGATGTTTTAATAAGACTTTGACATCATTCTTTAAATATACTGGTCACTGTCATACATATAGTGGATTAAATTAAATTATATATTGTAATAATAAAAATTGGCAAACATTTTTGGGTTATGTTGTTTCTTTTCTTTTCAAAATTATAATTTATGTATTTTATTATGTTTATTTGTTACATTACTGACTGTAATTATATACACATATATGTTTGGGCAGGCTATGATACTCTCTCAATTATACTTCCACAGGAGTGCACAATTTCCTCTTAGAGTATGTCATTTTGTAGCCACTGTGAAGTGTTTGTATTGAAACACTGAAACTGTGTGTTTAAAAACGAACAACAAACTATAAGCCACAGCAAAAGGGTGTGGAGAAAAGCACGTCAAGGCTTCATATTTAGAGTTTGGTTTGAATGTAAAAGCCTCCAGCACTCCACCCTACCACTTCCTGCTGGGCAATAAGTCCATGAATATAGGACTTGTGTTACAAGCCTATCAAGTTACATGGGCAGCAAGGCATGGCAAACTATAATGACTAGACACATGTCAGTGCATATTAAAATGGAGCAATGCTAAAGACTGAATGCTGGCTGCTCTAAAGAGACTGAAGACCTGACCGGACTTATTTTTAGAAAGGCTGTTATATGTATATCCAACAAAGATTAACTTCACTTTCAGTTATAAAAGAGAAATAAATTGAAAAAACATGACTATTTACAAGATTTTGCTCTCATTCACTGCTAACCTGCACTGTGTGGATCAGGGCCTCCGTTTGGTCAGATATGCCATCCCAGCCTGAGTTAGTTATCAGCTTGTTACTTGATAATGTGTTAAATGTGTCTAGACCTACTACTGTTATGTTTACACTCCAAATCATGTAGACTCTCCTTAGCTAAAGCTCTCTTTGAACACACAGGTCCCACAATGTTTGCACAAATTCCCACAGACTTCAAAACATTTAGAGGACTGGTTCACCCAAATTTTATATAAAACACTCAACTCTGGTGATGTCTACCATATAGCAAAATTTACTAAATGAGTTGAGATGTCTGCCTCCACCCAAGCACAATGGAGAATTGAATAATTACTTTTTTAGTTTTCCAAGAACGATGAACAGTATTTCACATCAAAGTGTGATGATTTTATTTGTGAGGATTTCTTTCAACAATAGTGAACTGAATATTTGCTGGATAAAACAAGCAATCTTTGGGCTCTGGAAAAGTATAATGGGCATTTTTTTCACTACTTGCTGACATGTAACAGACAGAAATTTCAATTAGTTCATCAAGATTAATTGCAAATTAACTTATCATAAAGAAAATGTTCGTTTCAGTCCTAATTAGTTTTGTAATTTGGTTCAACTGACCCCTTAAAGCCTGCTAGACTGCCTTACAACATAGCTAACTTTGCTTATTTTGTTGTTTCATAGCTTTTTGTTCTTACAGAAATTCGTCTTTGAGGCAGTACATACACAATATATAGCACATCTACTTAACTGCAAACACTGCATTTACACAAAGCCATGAAGGAAGGTTTGCATAATAAATACAGACAGGCACAATGTTTCAATGAACCAAATTGCTTCAATGTGTGTACATTTATTTCCTAGAGATCATACTGAAGAACAGAGCATGAGACATAGAATGTCACTGAATTACACTGAGCTATGGCCTAGAAAATGTTGTTTTTTTTTCCAAACATCCTGCTCAATACACTCGTTGTCCACCGACAATAAATTAAGTCTGTTATCCAAAGTAGCAGTGTCGGTATTTAGAATATCTGTACATTTTCCAACACAAAGTACATTAGTTGTTCCCTTTTGAATTTCTCACACAGGCTAGTGATTTACATGAACAGTGGCTGGTTAATATCATTGCTATCATACTGTGTTTTCACAACAAAAATTACATTATGATATAGGATTACAGATCTGTAACCACAAAATGTGTACTTATAAATATTGAACATTTCAAATATGTAGGTTTTTGTGCAATTTCCAAACGTTTCAGTCATCAGAAAATGACTGTTTAGAAATTCCCAGATGTTTGTAGGAGTCCTACATTACAAGAAACAAAATAAAGATTGTTATTAAAGAAAACATTTAAAAGACACACTTTAAGAAATCATGTACAGTTTTCAGTGGGCCACTAAAAAGCTAAATGGCATATATCAAAGTATGCTAGTGCAAACCGGACGTACTGTACAAAGGTGCTCTGTTTAATGTTGTTCATGGCTACTAGGTCACCGTTATCTGAGCTGTGAAAACAGGGACATTAATTTGAACATTAAAAAGGCATATTTAGCACTGTGGTAGCATAGCAGAAAAGTTATTAGCATACTTACAGTTATATAAGCTATAGCACCGTCATACCCCACCGCTCCATAGTCTGCTGAGCTGAATTCCGGACCTTGCTAGAAAATTGAACATTTTAAGCAACTCGCTCTGGCAATCTGACATATAAAAATTCCATTTTTTTCTTTCTCCCATTGTGCAGACAATAGCAGCAACCCACAACAAGAATTTTGTTTTACACCAGCACCACATTAAACCCATGTTAGTGACATGAACAGGAATGAGTTTTGAAAGAGTTTTACAGAATCTACAGTTATGCAAATGTCCAAATAAGACTAAATGAGTTGAGATGTCTGCCTCCACCCAAGCACAATGGAGAATTGAATAATTACTTTTTTAGTTTTTCAAGAACGATGAACAGTATTTCACATCAAAGTGTGATGATTTTATTTGTGAGGATTTCTTTCAACAATAGTGAACTGAATATTTGCTGGATAAAACAAGCAATCTTTGGGCTCTGGAAAAGTATAATGGGCATTTTTTTCACTACTTGCTGACATGTAACAGACAGAAATTTCAATTAGTTCATCAAGATTAATTGCAAATTAACTTATCATAAAGAAAATGTTCGTTTCAGTCCTAATTAGTTTTGTAATTTGGTTCAACTGACCCCTTAAAGCCTGCTAGACTGCCTTACAACATAGCTAACTTTGCTTATTTTGTTGTTTCATAGCTTTTTGTTCTTACAGAACTTCGTCTTTGAGGCAGTACATACACAATATATAGCACATCTACTTAACTGCAAACACTGCATTTACACAAAGCCATGAAGGAAGGTTTGCATAATAAATTGATGAAAGAGTTTTACAGAATCTACAGTTATGCAAATGTCCAAATAAGACAGAAATTTACGACAGTGTTCGAAACCAGCTCATTAACACATTCATGTTGGTATATCAATTATGAAGTATGAGTGTTCCTACAAAAGACAGATACTTGGAGTGAACCAACAGTTCTTCACACTATTTGAAAATTGTCTTGATGTTACAGAAAGGCTGAGGAAATGGTGAGTCAGCAACTGAACAAAGACTTGTTTCTGGAAAAACAAAAATCATACGTCAAAGTTCATGTGCATAAAATGCTGATGAGCCATCTGTCACACAAGAATCTGTTTGAGTTTCAGATTTGCGACATTTCTTTACTGACATACTATATCTTCCCTGGGATATTAATTATCCTAGCAACACTGTGAACGCTGCTCACCATAATCCTGGAAAATCTTGCTCCAATGTTCACTTGCATAACAGAGGTAATGACGGGGAACGAGAAAAATGCACTCCCAGGTGAGACAAAGGCAGATGGAAAAAAACAGAAATGATTGACAGACTCCTGAGTGAGGTGACACCGCCAGTTATAGTCAATCACCGAAGAGCTTAAGTCTAGTTTGTTCATATATGATCACACTGACCAGAGGGAAACATGATTACTCTTCCTCCCCACATCAGCAAACCAAAGGACAGTTGAAAGAGAAAATCCAGTCTACTCTACATCAGAGGCATCGTTGTCAGAATGTAGGCAGTTGCTGCCTTTTACCCGGATGTAGTGGATGTGGCGTTTGTCATTGGGTGAGGTGGCTCCGCAGGAGCAGAGCTGACCGGTAAACAATGTCTCGATCTCTTCCAGCTGGAGGCCCTGGGTCTCTGGGAGGCAGCCCTGGACGAAGAGGAGACCCAACACCACCAGGCCCGTGTACATGAAGAACGCCCCTGGAAGAGAGATTCACATGTACATTTTCATTGTAAGGTTCTGAGGTGTGGCTATCATTGTTCGACATCGATAAATCGATTGATGTCCATAAATTTATATTAAATATATTTCAATACTCTTCCAAGAATAATCCTCCCAATTATAAGGAAAATTTAAGGTTAAATAAGCTCACATTTTCAGCTGACAATGTGTAACTTAAAAATGACAATGCAAACTGGGCTTTTGCATTTCACTTTATATCATGATCACGATGCTGTGATATTAGATTATCATATTATATTGTTTATTAATACATTTGGAGAGTCACTGCGATTGCAGTTTGAGCTTGTTTCTGACTTGTCCATGCCTTCCATGGGCAAATAAATATGTGACAAAGACACTGACAGAATGAGTGGAAGTTGAAGGACAAACTTAGCTTGTATATTTCATTGTCACCTTGATCCACAGTGAGACGGCACCTACAGTTTGTGTTAAATGACTGAATCGTAATTATCCAAACAATTGTGTTTTTTTACACTGTATGTATAGAGAGTATGATCTGATGTAGTTCCACCCTGCTCTATTAGTAGCAAACCAGGACTTGTAAACAAGTTGAAGCTCATCTCATCTCCCTCACCACTGTCCTGTTGCTATAAACAAGTAAATGTTTATAGTGACCACGCCTGGTTACATAACAAGTAAAAAACAACATTTTTGGATCTGGCTAAGGCAAAAGACTCACTCTGAAGTTGCAGGAAATGCTTTCACTGACTACTTTTCTGACTATTTCTATTTAAATAAAATATATATATATCAGCTAACAGAACTGGAGACTAGGCAAATCTGTACACTACCCACAAGCAGAGCTGTGAGCAACACAGAACGATTTGTAGTCGAGTTGGAACGACACATTAAAACAGTATGTATCCTAGAGGAAGCCACACACATCACAGATAACACACACTCTTCTCATAAAAAGTCTCACCTAACACATAAAGACAGTTCATGATGTGACAATGTATTTATCGTCATCCGATGGCTTGATAAAGTCTTACCGTAATAGGTGAGAAACTCAGCGACATGAAGGAAGGTCAGAGACACCAGGACGTTGAAGATCCAGTTGACGCCAGCTGAACAGGCGTTGCCAGTGCTTCGGGCCCACAGTGGGTAGATCTCTGAGTTCACTGTCCAAGGCATGGGGCCCATACCTAACACACAGAGCAATTCTTTAATATTCACAAGAGTAACATCCATTGCACAAATAATTTCCTGATATCCGGTACGTAGCAATACATACATAAATGTTATTTTTCATGTTCATACACATAATTTTTACTTTGGGTATTTGTTAGTGGAAATATTTTGTTTTCCAGGTGTAGAGTAGCATTCCTTTATTTTGGCATTACGTTCCTCAAAGACAATTTACACAGGTTAAAATACATGTACACATTAAAAAGATCATTAATACACATTAAAATATTATTTTCAGACCTGGAGCAAAGAATGCAAGGTACAGGACGAGGCCCAGCAGGACAATCCAGGAGTAGGAAGTTGGACAGAAGTTGTAGGCCCAGATTGGGCTGTCAGCTGTCTCCGTACGGTTGAAACACCTGGATTAAATTGAAACCAACATACAGGTTTTGTCTCAATTCAATCCTGATAATCCAGCAAAGGAAATCTGGTTTGCAGGCGGTTCTGTGTGTTGCATTTTGTTAAAAACAATACAGTAGCATCCTCTTTTCAAATTATTTTCAGCTTTAAGGATGCTGAAAGTTAGTACATTTGTCTGTCATGTGCAAAGCAATGTAACACGAGATGATGGTGATAGCCATGTGGGTGTTGGGAGTTTGTGCTGTGACACTCATGTATCTCAAATATTTGTCAACCTCTCATTTACTCCCTGTCACACGACAACACGAAATGTCAGTGTCTGACCTTCCCCAGGCGGCGTGATCAGTAGACGTTTGATCGACAGGAACGCAGGAGGAGTCGTATACACTGGTGCTGTTTTCACGATAACAAAATCCACAATCCGGATCCAGCATGCATAATTCACAGAACCTGGAGGACAGAGCTAAATGTAAAAACCTCCCACATACCATTACATCCATGCCGACACAGGGCCGTCATACTACTCAGCAACACACATACTCCTCTGTTAGAAGTGATTACAGGAGCCTTTGATAACAACAGATATGGTGAAATTACACATGTCCACAGATGCAGGAAGAACAATGAAAGGATTTTCGGTCAGATCATTACACAACTGAACACAGGTACATGTACAGGAGTCAAATTTAAGTACTGTGATACAAATGTAATTTTTCTCACTGAAGGAGCAACTTTTTACTGATATCATAAATTGTGACATCACAATTTGAAGCCTAAAGTAACTCTTTAGACAAGTGTTAAAACCTACTTTTCTTCAAGACCCCTAATGAACATTCGCTTTTCGTGAGCAATTTCCTAGAATGCCTTTCAACAACTCCTTGAAAAGCTGCATGGACTCTCTGTATTCAGCTGTTGGTTGTGTGTTGGCAAAAAGAGTGATGTAATAGCGTGGTGAGAAGTTTTCTTGTGGAGAAAAAGTGATTGATGTGAGTGTATGTCTAAAATATGTAACAAGGCTGTGGCGGTCAGTATAGAAAGCGCACTTTCTGACTACAAAATTATGAGACTAATAAGAAACAGTTAGTCTTGGGGATTGTACAACATACTGAAACCTATTTAACTATCAAACAAAAAGAATATTGAAGACACATTACCTACATATGCCAGTTATCTGGATGAATCAGAGACTTGTCCCAGTGTCTCAAAATGAAAACTAATGGTTGGCGGTAAGGATCAAAATGACCTCTTACCCGTATAGTCTGCAGGTTGAGTTCTGAGAGTCAACTGGGTGGAGGGTGATTGGTGGAGAATTCTGGGCAGATAACAAGAACCCGACTGCCAGCAAAGTCAGACTCAATGCAGTACCTGTATTGGAGAAAATAAAGCTACTAAATATAGCTCTCAGAAAGAGCAAAAAATGTTAATAAATAAATCCTGCAGAGATTTTTGCACAAGACTACAACTAAAATGTAGAGAAAGACATTGCATCCTACAAACCTTCCCTGTCCATCGTATGTCCCCCTCAATAAAAATGCCATTGTAACATGACTCAAAACTATAATAAAATCATCACTGTCTAAATAAAATATGAAATTACAGCAAGCAATTATTATTCTATTTTGTTGTGAATTTATATACCGATGGTGTTTTGACTTCTCATTGGGCTATAAAATATGTGAATACATAATATTTACAAAATAGTGAATCTCAATCACAAGTTGTATTGAAAAATATTTTAATTACAGTGATGTAAAATTGAGAAATGTCCTATCATTTGTCAGGCTGTCAACAATGCTACTATCCACATTACAAACCTAATAGACTGCCCAGGATCAGCTTCCTGCGGCCCACTCTTTCGACAAGCCACACTCCAACCAAGGTGAACACAAAGTTGGTAGCAGAAGTTCCAGCAGCCAACCAGATTGCCTGTTTATCATCCCGCACCCCTGCCATCTGCAGAATGGTTGCACTGTAGTACCTAGGTATGAGCGAAGAGGTTCACTGAAAAGCCAAATCAATTTACATTCCAACCTACAAGCAAATCTCAAAACTCTGACATGACAAGTGTTTCCGGTTAGACAGGTCAGGAGGCATTAAAACACAAAACAGACTCTGATTTATTAGTTGAGCTTTTACAACAGTGGGTGCAGAGATTATAACGTGGGAGCCATTACAAGATAAAATAGATGACCTACATGACGGTGTTTATCCCAGCCAGCTGCTGAAACATCTGGAGGCCGCAGCCAACGAAGAGTGCCCTGCGAGTCGGACCGTGGCGAAGGATCCGCAAGATAACAACTCCTCCCATAGAACAAACAAGCAAACATTTTAAATGAATATTAAAGCTTCAACTCATGTACCTTTATTTTTATTATTTTTAAATCAAAGTCACTTGTCACTTTGTACAAATAGCTGTTAGGTGACATCTAGACAAAACTCAGTTTTCACTGAAATATTTCACCTGCACTCGCCCCTTTCTCCTCTTCCTCAATGCTAGTTTTGATAATGTCGTACTCTTCATCAACGCTCTGGCCTCCTCTGATCTGGCTGAGAACTTGTCGGGCCTCTTGGTTCCGGCCCTTTTGGAGAAGCCAACGGGGGCTTTCTGGCAGGAAGAAGAAGCCAATGAACTGCAGCACTGCTGGGACAACGGACAAACCCAACATGTACCTACAGTTTGGAGTGGAGGGGAGAAGAAATGCTGAAAGAGACATTTGCCACCGCTGATTCTCAAGTTGGAGTCTGAACACTCTCAGGGGTCTGACAAGGAGTCCATTTTAAGCTAACCTAAATCATGAATTAGAGCAGCAAAGATACACAAATAAGGATGTCCAGAGATGATCCACAGGATTGAAATCTGAGCTAATATTCAGCTCCAAACGTTTCATTTGGCTTTTTTTTTAACGGGATCCATAAAGCCCAATCCATTTATGATCCTTTGATTGCTTTGCCTGCATAATCAAGCTGTCAGAATTGATGCACTGACACTAAAGCCATACGGTTCTGTGACAAGTGAGTGCACAAAACTGGAGCTGACAAATGTTGTTTTTTGTTTGTTTTTTTAAGTCGGGCACTAATATTGACATTTGAGAGTTTAAAAACTTTGCTAATAATATTCCACCAATATTGGGGATTAAAAGAGTTTGTGACCAGCATACTGTATGTTCTGGTTGCAACTAGGGCTGGGCAATAAAACAATAATGATCATTATCACAATATAATTTTCCTCAATAACAATATAATAAATGTTCAATTTATTGTCAGTAAATATTTGACTAAATTCATTTGAATCACAAACAAATTAGCACTTAATTTTTCTATTCTAAAATATTAATTTTGTTGAGGAAAGGGGACTGAAAAAACATTTACTAATCATATTTGTTGAAAAAGATTTTATCATAATAGTTTTTAATGTTCTACCTCAGGCCCTGTCTACACGAACACGGGTATTTTCATAAGTGGGACTTTTTTTTCTCCACACGGAAACGCAGTATCAGGTCACTGAAACCGAACATTTTTCAAAACCCCTGCCAGGGTGTGGATTTTCAGATTGTCAGATTGTGCGCCACTGCCTGCTTTGTTTACAATTTTATTAGGCTCTGACTGGCCAACATGGCTTCACGGTTAGGGTCATATCGGCGCAAGGTGGTTTGGCACGCTCTTGACAACGTGTGTTTGCGTTTTCATGTGGATGTAGATTTTTTTTAAACGAAGGTGGAAAAACTCTGGTTATAAAAATACCCGTGTTCATGTGGACTAGGCCTCAGATTTGTTAAGTGATCCATTGTTTGGCATCAAGTGTTTGTCACATTCTGACCATAAAGAAAAGTTTAACCACATAATTATCCATCTGGTTTCTTCAATTTTCACTCAGGTGCAAAAATCAGCCTTTAAACTGTTTTTATTGTGATAACATTTTTGGCCATATCGCCCAGCCCTACGTGAAACTTGTGAGTGCTACACTGACTTAGTACAAACAAACCATTGGCATTTCTGTGCTGCAGTTTCTTGTCACTATTTGCCAATATATCTGGGAAAAGCACTTACTCTTACAATGCCGATTTATCAGTCAGGCTCTGGACACAACAACACACAGTAGCAAACACTTTCAATTAACTGTATGTGAGCAATTGTCAGATCTATGTGGGGTTCAAGCCAGAATGACTAACGCTGGGTATTTTATTATAGTATTATCAAGTCCATTTTCTCCTGTCTTATGTGCATAACTTTAGTCGATGTCTGCTGGGTTCTGAGGCCTAAATGCAGGTGACCTACATTCAATCCCGTGCCTCAACACATCCTGCATAGACACAGACGAAGGATCGAAGCTGCTGTTCTGCTAAGATTGTATGACATTATAAAGACAAAGCATTTATGGAGATCTTTCACAGCTAAATGCTGCAATGTGTTCACTGAGTGGTTGAGTAACATCCTCTGTTGGCTTCAAATAAGACAGAGAAAGAGAAACTGTAAGGTAAACAAAACTAAAGTGATCCCATGACATGGAAAGTTACTGACAAGATAGGTGTAGTGTAGAACTAGCACATACCTCCAGCCATCATGGCTCAGGTAGCTGAAAGCTCCGTCGACCACACTGGCAATAAACTGGCCACCAGTGATGAAGAGGGAGTTGATAGTGACCAGCAGACCTCTCTGATGAGGAGGGGAAACTTCTGCGAGGTATACAGGTACTGTCATAGAGGCAATGCCTGATGGGAGGAAAAAAAGAAGGGATTTCATTTTGAATGGCCCAAACATTTCTGTACCCTTTGTCCCAAAATCTTGGCACAATAACTTCTGAACTGTCTCCTAGATCCACAGCCCTATTCTTGAACCAAGCAAATACAAGATGGTAGTATTGGAAAAACAGGTCTGGTGGGATATGGTGAGAGGTTGCATTGGAGCGGACTATCAGATCTTAAACAACTTACATGCAGGTTAAAATCTCGACATATCTGTGGGTCTGAATTCCTGAGCAAACATGTGTAACAATACTTTTGTGATACCTTATTCTTTTTACTCTTTTTTCCTTTAACAAAACAAGCAGAACTGCTCTGTGGACCAGTGTTAAAAACCATAAACAAAAGGAAATATTTGATCAAAGAATATGTAAACATGTTCAAGTATCTGACCAAACAGCTGATGATGATTTATGCTATAAAACTATCACGTCTCTTAGATAGACAAAACCTATATGTATTAAAATTACCCCTTTTCAACAACTCACCTATTCCCAAACCAACTGTGATTCTGCCCACAAGAAGCAACACCTTGTCCGGTGCAAAACCCATGATGATGCCTCCGACGCTGAAGATGAAACTGGAGAAAATGATGCAAATCCTGCGCCCCAGCCACCCATTCAAGAAGCCTCCGCTCAGGGCAGAGAGCGCTGCAGCCCCAACAGTACTGGACACAAGCAGCTCCTGCCACAGATTGTTCAGGTTCATCTCCTTCTTCAGGAGCAGCATAGCCCCGGAGACCACCCCAGTGTCATACCCAAAGAGAAATCCTCCCAGGGCAGAGAAAAACGCCAACATATAGACGAACCCCGATGTGGAGGCATCTTTGTCCAGGAGATCCCCACCAGAGTCCCCAGATGGAGGCACAATGAGACTCTGCTCGCCGCCATCCACTGATTTCTGCCTCCTGCTGCCCATAAGGTTGCTCATGTACTTCAAGCTGTACTCATCGTGGCTGCTGGACATAAGGGAAACCAGAAATTAAGCTCACCAGAGGTTAGTTTAATAATAGCAGCTCCTTGTAGCAGTTCTCTTTTAATAAAAAAGATGTGCCATTTGTCATTGCGCATAAAACTCCCTCAAAACGTAATGTTAGCAGAGTTGAGAAGAAAAAAAAAAAGGAGATTAACGCTGCAAAACCAGGCATCACATTAATCTCCGACCTACGTATGTTTTGAGGAGCAGCTCGAACAGGGAAGAAGCCAACACGTCCAGATTTTAACAGCTAATTTATAATTGCTAACGAAAACGTTTCTTGATACGCCCCCGCTGTTGACCTTTAGTACGGCAGATTTCAGGGTCATGTCATGTGAGGAATTTTCCGGAACGGTGCACTTTACTGGCTTCAAACCGAGTTCATCTGATTGTTTACCAACAGCTCTGCTCTGCGTGCGGCCATGTCTACGTGACGTCACCTGACTGCCTTGCTGGAAAGTGATGCTGCGTTTAAGGCAACTCGGAAGTTTGCGACCTCCAACTCGAGAAAGTCGCCACTGTATGAAAACGCCACTCGGGTGAACTCGGGTTCAGCTAAATTGTTGTCAACATATGTCGCCTGGATTGGGTAGCTGGATACGGTAAACAATCTCTTAAATGCATCTTAGTTATTCAGAAAAACGTTAAAAATGTGAAAACGGTAGGGAATATACATTTACTGATTTTGGCACATTACCAACCGATGTAGCTCGACGGGAACACAGTAAATAAGTATATTTATGTCACTCCTTTTAATTAAAATGGCTATCTTTTTCATATACAGCAAGGGCACTGCGGAGGGTTCAACCTATGGGTTCAACGTGTGTGTACAGTGTTCACGTTTCGCGTTGGAAATTTCCACTGGGAGAAATCCGACCTCCAACTGTGACAGGGAACGCAGCATTACTTTAGCAAAGAAAAAGTTATTCCAGGACTTTTAATGTAAACAACATGTAATTATAACAACCTGGCGTATTAAAAAAAGTGTTATCCGCACGCAAATAATGTACCAAGTTTTTGGAAAAATATCTCTTTCGAGCATTCAAACTATTACTTGTTTATTTTAGAAACAAACTGACATGTTCACTAGAACGCAGCGCAAAATATCTGTTTTAGCAATTTAGTGAATCCCCGCCTATCAGTAATGATATATAGGCCTATATTGAAATAAACCTCAGATATGGAGTGGGTCGTATCAATCAATTTGGCACACAGAAACTACTAATAACTGCTGAATGCCTATGTAGACAAGATATGATTGGTTCACATTATTGCCCACAGCAGTTTGGGGCGGTGGTGAGACTATCTCAAAAGCAAACTCTAAAATGTGAGAATGTATTGGAGCAGTAGCAAGGTAATGCTTTATTTATCGACATAGAGTCAAAATGATGTAATAAACGGCATGCAGAACATTAAAGTTAGAAAAAGTAATTCAAGCTCATCTAGCCTAGTATTCATGTTCAGTCATCAAAAATCCCTCACAGGCAGATGAAATAGGAACGTTAACATCACACAAAAACCCTGTTTTAACACAGATGTCGTCTGTGCAAAATAACACAAACTATACCCCTGAAAAGCTTATTCTGGAGCAGTGCTTTAGCCGGTGTCCTCTTCAACAGACGGAAGTTTGTCTGTCTGATGTTTCCAGATCATATAATACGGGATGTTTGTCTGAATTACCCCGATCACATGATATTTTCACAAGAAAAAAGGAACACGCCCATAATGAATAGATTAACTGTCTGTGTTTACTTTGTAAGCCTTGTAAAACGGCAGGAATTTACATTGCTGGACACAGATATTAAACAAACTATCCCAAGATATTAGGCAGCTGTTCCTTATTCTCATTTGAAAACTAAACAATGACTGATGCATTTTGATTTTATTTAGGAAGTTAAGGGCAATTCCCCTCTTTTATAACATTTAATCAGGAGATCGGACGAGCCTTCTTTTTATTTGGTTAATTTGTCATATGCAAATGAAAGTTCTTTAGTTGTGTTTGCATTTTTACCCAACATGGAAGTTTGCATAAATAAGATTAAGCAACAGCAAATAATGATTTAAAAAAAAAAATCTAAATGTGTCTCAGTTACTAAGTTGGACACATGGTAATATTACTATTATTACCGAATGAGGTGCCAAAGAATGTAATAGACAGTGTAAATACCGTAGTTACACTATTATATACGCAGAACTAAAAAGACGACTACGGATTAAATGATAGAAGAACTGCGATCCAGTGAGCCGTCCTTTCTGAGAACCTGCACAGCTAAAGAGGACACTGCCAGACATTTTAATCATTTCTACGGCAAAGTACTGTTTAAAAACGATATCATATTCTTTGTGGGGTTCATCAATGGTGATAAATTATTTATATTTTATGAACTTCTAGTCATTATTTTATTGCAGTAGAACTAACAAGGTCTCCTTTATTAATCTCTCAATATTACTAAGAGGGAAATATGGTGTTCTTGATCAATTTGTTGATGTATCGTAATTACCATTCTTACATGCTATCCTAAAATAAAGGTTTTAAATGAATGTCGGCTGACAAATTAACTTCATTAGATTGCTATCACAGTTTGATTTGTCCAGTAGACCTACTAAGTGTTAAGGGGTAAAGGTTAGCCGAAATGCCAATTTAGTCGAACAAAACTTATTTAAAATAAAACAACAATACAAATTTTAGAGAGTCAATAAAACTAACTGAAGCAAAAAACTAGCAAACAAATTATTGTTATTTTACTTTGTTGATAATAAGGTTTTTCAGGGGTGCATCCCCATTGGCTAGTGAGTGTTTGAGTGACAGCACTGCTGATAGTGAGAGCAACAGTGATCAGTGAGAAAGGCAGAGGGAACTGTAAACAATGAAGGACGTAGGCCTATTTTCTATAGAGTAATAGAGAGCAATAGCTTGCTTGCACGTTATGTTTTACTTTTACAGATGATCAAATTGTTTTTGCTTCAGTTAGTGTCATTCTTTCTCAAATTATTTTTCTTGTTTGAGATTTAAGAGGCCCGATTAAATTGGCACAAATCTGATTCCGTCTATATATGAGTTTTAGATCTACGAAATTCTTAATGTAATGTCTACAAAGACCTAATTATGAACTGGCAACAGTATTTGACCCTCAAGTGTCGTAAAACAAAGCTGAGAGAACAGAGCTGCTGCCTTAACGCCTAATGAAAACCGGACGTTGCGCTAAAGTCCGACGCAATTTAATTACTTATATTGTAGCATATTTGGTGCCCGCGTCGCGTAAAATTGCGGTAAAACTTTTATACTGCAACACATGTCTTTGGAAAGTGAGAAAATGACTACATACAGTGAATAAAGTCACTAACCCTGCCTGTCAGCTGGCAGCTCGCTGTGTGCTGTTTCAGTACTTTTACCATAAAGGTTAGAATATGCGTGCACTTGACAGACTGCGACTGCGGCAGACCCCGTCCCCTTCCACCATGTGGTGCTACGCGGTATGAGTTTCCAGTTTCCTCTTTAACAAACGGGGAGTTTTTCTGGCCGGAGTCATATGATGCGACTGTAGGAAAGGAGGAACACGCCTGTCAGAAAGAGGACGCGCTCTCCTTTCCCACCACAGACACAATAGAAAGTGTCAAACTCCACAAAGAGGAACACGTTTCTCTGCCAGAGGAAAGTTAGCCGAGGACGGCGACGTCAACGTCGGAACAGAAACTCTGGGACTCTGACATCTTCCACAGTCTTGACAGCCAGTTAGCTGTACTGTAGCTAGTGTAATATGATGTAACATAGCTAATGTTTAGAAATGTGCTCTAATAACATGGGTGGCACTTTGATCCGTTTCTTCTTCTCACGCAGCAATGCTGCAGCAGAGTGGCCGCCGGCTCGAAGCCCTTTCGACGGTTCTGACAGACTGTAACTTTACAGATTGACCTAAATGCACGTGAAGTCGTCATCTGGAAACGAGTATTTCAAAGACCATGGTTAACAAAGAGGAACTTGAACAAAGGTTGAAGAAACTCCTGGTTAGGCTGAAAACCCCGCAAGAGGACAGACAACTGTGCACACTGATTCAAATAATCCAGGATCTGCTTTTCCTGGCGCACACCGACGATGGTAGGAAACAGATTTTTCCTGCATGTGCATCATACTGCCGTTCATAAACAGGCACGATTTCCTTTGACCTTGTTTGACTGAAGAGCAGTGGTGGGAAAAATAATCAGATCCTTTACTTTAGTATAAATAATACAATAGTCTTAAAATATTTTTTAAAAGAAATGCATTCAAAATCTCACGTATACAGAAGTATTATCAGCACAAATGTAGCTACTTAAAATATAAAAAAGTACTCATTATGCAGAAAAATGACTTCTCTTAGTGTTATTATTATACTATGGGAGTTATTTTTGATGCATTAACATGTAAGCATTTTTTTTAATGTTGCAGTTGGTGGAACTTATTTGATTATCTTAATATATTATAGTATGGTACAGTATTTTAATTTAAACAGTGCATCATATTTCATTAAAAAATTTCTCCTATTTTTTTAAACTTTCTCTTGCATGTTCGAAAAAAAAGATTTCAATTCAACAGATAAGACCTTATTCTCAAAAGTAACCAGAAACTATTGATGTAAGATAAATATAAAGCAGAAAAAATTACAATATTTTCTTTTAGATGTTGCAGAGAATGGAAGAATTGAAATACTCAAAGTGAAGTACAAGTACCTCAAAAACACTTTCTTAAAGTTAGACTAGGCAACTTGGAGACAGCTAGATTCTGAAAGTATTCTACCTAAAAAAAAAAAAGAAGAAAAAAACAGAGCAACATCTGGTTTTGATTCTTAAAATGGTACACCTTAACTTATGATAATGTGTACCTTTTGTACTCAAGTATACTTTTTTGATAATATTAAAGAACTTTTATGTAATTTAACTCTTGAAATCCAGACTTGTAGTTAGGACTGAAACAATTAGAGGATTGATAGGAACATATGAGAGTTTTGGAGTGTTGCCCAGTGAGTATTTCATATTGTGGTATTGCTTACATACTTCTCCTTTGCTTCAACTTCAGTTGACCTTAATTTCATCTGTTTATGTAGGCCTATTCTTATCAGTATGTTTCCATCATTGCTGTTATTGAGCATTGCCCAGTTTAAAAATCTATTGTAAATGAACATAAGGCAGCCACTCTCTTATAATTGAACCCTTGTTATTGCTAGACTATTCTCCAAGCTTTTCTATATGCCTTTAAAATATAAATAAGTGTTAAAAACGCAGTCTCGTCCTTGTCACATCATGTCTTCTTATTTGTTGCTCTATGATGCAGCAGCTGAACTGTTTGAAGACAAAGATGTCCATGCCCCCCTCATGCTGGTGTTGTCATCCTACATGAGCAGCCAAAGAGTCCAGCAGGTACTGCAAGACATCAGACACCTCACAAACCTTTGATTGTGCAGTTTAGTTTTCCTTTTTTGCATCAGC